AAGGAATTAATTATTACACAGCCATGATAAAAGGTGTTAATTATTACACAGCCATGATAAAAGGAATTAACTATTACACAGCCATGATAAAAGAAATTAATTATTACACAGCCATGATAAAAGAAATTAATTATTACACAACCATGATAAAAGGTGTTTATTATTACACAGACATGATAAAAGGAGTTGGTTATTACACAGCCATGATAAAAGGTGTTTATTATTACACAGCCATGATAAAAGGAGCTGATTATTACACAGCCATGATAAAAGAAATTAATTATTACACAACCATGATAAAAGAAGTTAATTATTACACAACCATGATAAAAGGAGTTAATTATTACACAGCCATGATAAAAGGAATTAACTATTACACAGCCATGATAAAAGAAATTAATTATTACACAGCCATGATAAAAGAAATTAATTATTACACAGCCATGATAAAAGGAGTTAATTATTACACAGCCATGATAAAAGGAGTTAATTATTACACAGCCATGATAAAAGGAGTTAATTATTACACAGCCATGATAAAAGGAATTAACTATTACACAGCCATGATAAAAGAAATTAATTATTACACAGCCATGATAAAAGGAGTTAATTATTACACAGCCATGATAAAAGGAGTTAATTATTACACAGCCATGATAAAAGGAATTAACTATTACACAGCCATGATAAAAGGAATTAACTATTACACAGCCATGATAAAAGGAGTTAATTATTACACAGCCATGATAAAAGAAATTAATTATTACACAGCCATGATAAAAGAAATTAATTATTACACAGCCATGATAAAAGGTGTTTATTATTACACAGCCATGATAAAAGGAGTTAATTATTACACAGTCGTGATAAAAGGTGTTGATTATTACACAGCCATGATAAAAGAAATTAATTATTACACAGCCATGATAAAAGGAGTTAATTATTACACAGCCATGATAAAAGGAGTTAATTATTACACAGCCATGATAAAAGGAGTTAATTATTACACAGCCATGATAAAAGGAGTTGGTTATTACACAACCATGATAAAAGAAGTTAATTATTACACAGCCATGATAAAAGGAGTTGGTTATTACACAACCATGATAAAAGGAGTTAATTATTACACAGCCATGATAAAAGGTGTTAATTATTACACAGCCATGATAAAAGGAGTTAATTATTACACAGCCATGATAAAAGGAGTTAACTATTACACAGCCATGATAAAAGGAATTAATTATTACACAGCCATGATAAAAGGACCTGATTATTACACAGTCGTGATAAAAGGTGTTGATTATTACACAGCCATGATAAAAGGTGTTTATTATTACACAGCCATGATAAAAGGTGTTGATTATTACACAGCCATGATAAAAGGAGTTAATTATTACACAGCCAGTATAAAAGGAGCTGATTATTACACTGTCATGATAAAAGGACCTGATTATTACAGCCATGACAAAAGTAGCTGATTATTACACAGCCATGACAAAAGGACCTCATTATTACACAGTCGTGATAAAAGGTGTTTATTATTACACAGCCATGATAAAAGTAGCTGATTATTACACAACCATGATAAAGGTTGTTGTTATTACACAGTCATGATAAAAGGAGCTGATTATAACAATGCAAGACAATAAGAAGTGGAAAGGTGTAATAAACGATGAATTAAGTCACATGTGCTGTTAAAAATAAAACACGATCTCTTTGACCAGAGATTTTAGTGGAACTTGTTCATTACTGGTTTTCTATTTATCAATTCTTTGTCTGTTTTGTGTGAGTTCTGATAATATTTCCTTAGCACGAATATAATAACGGGTGCCTTCATTTTCCGAGCTAAACTTGAAGCCATGCATGAAGTACATTATACAGTGTTTTTGATGAACGACTCATTTGAGTCAAATTTGTTTTGTGTCAGCGATGTCCACTAAAGCCTTTTCGCTGTATATAGTATAAAATTAATATGGCTGTCGAGACAGGTGTATGACAGCGAAGGGCCTTGCACAATGACAAAATCTTACAATTAAATCCGATCTTTAGAATGTCCTTTATTCTAAAATGACGTCCATGCATTTAAGCTTTTCCTGACTCACAAAGATAACAACTGGGGAAATAAGGGGACATTTGAAATATGCACGAATTAAGTAGGGCACTCGGTTAAGCAGTAACACTGATTAAATACGTGTACCTCATGTGTACTGCGCTGAACCTTTTCTAGCACATTTTCATACGTTTTGTGTAAATAAATACCAAACAAACAATATATCGTTTTAAATACTAGGTACATTTAATTCTATAATGGCTAATCGTTACCAAAACACGATAAAATCAAGAGGCCCAGCGACCTTGACGGTCACGTGAGGGACGCAATATTGAATATATAAAGGTTATAGAGTAAGCAGCTTTCAAGTGTCAAGAAAAAGAAATGGTGGCATTGATGATAGTAAGACTTGAGTGATGTGGTTTTAAAAACGATATAAAACACGAGAAGAGGCATGTTGCTTTGTGATAATTACAGAGATATGATTAACAAGGAAAACACACGAGTTTGGTAAAACACCTCAAGATCCTTCCATCCACGAAAAGCATTGATTCTGCCATATTTGGATGACGAGAAAATTTTTTTTGAATTGGTAAATTTGCCGCCCTTCCCTCACAACGTCTCCTTAGCTCCTGGGGACAGAAACTACACAGTTAATAATATTTGTCCGTCTTTGACCATAGAAGGTTTCTACAAAAGTTAATTCCTTGTAATCGGTTCAGGGGTATTTGAAAAGCCGAAAATGTATACATGTAAGAAGTTTACGTACGAAGGACGTCGCCAAACACGATCGCCAAAGGTCACCATGACGTCCCTTGTGACCAAAATAATTTGAAGGGAGCAGAAATTAGACAACTGAAACGCCGTACAACAAAGTCTCGATAATCCCCACGTCTGTAGGATCACTATTTTTACTCCACTTAGGCAGAAACGTTTCTCTATAACAAAACCTTATTAATCTGCATATGTGTGGAGCTTAACCTTTGTTGATATGGACAGGGTCCACTTGAATTATATCGTGTAAGACTGGTACCATAAAACGTATTTATGAACTCTCTTTGTCATAATACTGTTTTGCTTCCCAACACAATTTTATTTTCGTTTCAGTAACGGGTTGTTAATCTAATGACACTTACACCCCGAAGATTGAGTATAAAAGTCTCTTTATTCCGGATAATGACAAATCTCTCAGTCAGTCAACCATTATTCCAGCTATTGAAGTGTTAATCCTGCGGGATCTCAATATTCCGGATAATGACAAGTCAGTCAAGTTAAACTACTCATTACCCTAGTTGTTGACTTGTGAATCTTGTGGAATCTCGCTATTCCGGATAATGAGTAGTCAGTCAAGTTATACTACTCATTACTCTAGTTGTTGAGTTGTGAATCTTGCGGAATCTCGCTATTCCGGATAATGACAAGTCAGTCAAGTTAAAGTACTGATTCCTCTAGTTGTTGACTTGTGAATCTTGCGGAATCTCAATATTCCGGATAATGACAAGTCAGTCAAGTTAAAGTACTGATTCCTCTAGTTGTTGACTTGTGAATCTTGCGGAATCTCGCTATTCCGGATAATGACAAGTCAGTCAAGTTAAAGTACTGATTACTCTAATTGTTCAGTTGTGAATCTTGCGGAATCTCGCTATTCCGGATAATGACAAGTCAGTCAAGTTAAAGTACTGATTCCTCTAGTTGTTGACTTGTGAATCTTGCGGAATCTCGCTATTCCGGATAATGAGTAGTCAGTCAAGTTGAACTTCATTTTTCCAGTTGATGAGTTAATAATCCTGCAAAATTTTGTTATTCCGGATAATGACTAGTCAGTCGAGTTGAACCCAATAATTTCAGTTGTTGGGTTGATAATCTTGAGCAGTCTATTTTTCCCGGCTATAGTTAAATCGCAGTCGAATAAGACAGTTAAGTATATATTCTGAATATACCAAAATACAGCAAAAAAATGTCACTAGTATTTTGTAGGTGTAATTCAGCGAATGTTAATGTAGTCATTACATGTCACCTCTTCTGTCTATTCTAAATCATTGATTTCTGTTTCCGAAATATCCGTCGTCAGTTTAAAACATACATTTAGCTTCTACTTGTGTTTAGAATTTAACACTTTGGTGTACCAATATCACGCTGACGTTGAAGGGAGGCAACTCATATTTATTTACGATTCTGGTGGGTTGAGAACATCTTTTTTCAAAGTTGGCATTTTGTGTGTTCTGTACTAAATGATTGTCAAGTCTTCAGAATTAAGTGATAACATGATAATATAAGGTTGGTGAAAAGGTAAAAATCTAGAAGTTTGTAACTAATTCCAACATCGAATATTTTTTATCCTAAATAAGCATTTACCAATTAAATCAATCGTGAAATTATTTGACCGCAAAGGACTGACTCTAAACCGTGACGGCTTGGTCACGGCATCCAAACGAGGTCATTTATACCCTATTTCCAATTTTACTCAACTTTTTCTGAAAGATCACTCATCTGATTTCGTCCAGACATTGTAATTGTCATGACTTGCAAAAACTTGAACGATAATTAGGTCACCAAGTGTAGGCCCTTCCTGTAAAGTACGATAACATTATGGCACAGAATGCAGCGCTGTTCTCCCTCCCCCTTCCTTTCCGATCTTTTGAGGGAAAAAAATATTAAAATAAAGGCGACTCCTAACATCACAACCTCTAACCTTATGTTAATCTAGAGTAGGTATTACCTATATCTGCTATTGTTTACTCTCGGTGTGTGCATCGTTCAATGGAGAGTCAATGTTTTGGCCTTGGCCTGGGTCAGCATGTTTGTGAGTCAGGCTCCGCCTGTTACATATGTGCATACATAATGTTGTGTTTTACATCGGCTTCTAACCGGGTCAAAACACACATGTGTATACTTATAATATCCACCCGATATATCAATAAATAATTAATATATCAAGAAAACTACTTACCAGATATGTCGAAATGTTGCTTTCAGAGCATGTTTTCCGGATCATATGAAATAAAACCGGTTTCGTATACCAATGTTTTTGTAAACAAAACAATTAAAACTCATCCAAGTGCAACGTGTGTTTGTTGCCACAGAGCTTCAGCCATAATCGAAATTATATTTGCACACAAAGTAAGGTTTATACAGTCCATAAACAAGATGAATTCGTGAAGCAGATATGAAACCAGAAACACCTGGCAGTGCACATCGGCCAAGGCCAACTCTGTTTACAAGCTACATTGTATCTTCAGCCATGTGCTCTTGGTGGTGACGTCACCGATTTTGACGATTTGACGCAAAGGACCAATCCGGAAGGCGAATCGAGAACATCCGACTGGAGTGCATCATATTATCCTGGAAACTATCGAGGTCATGCTTGACCGACTTCAGAAATCGGATGTTTGAACACTGAAAAGGGCACTTGATTACCTCTAGTGTAAAGATCAAGGTGATAGTAAGGACCAGCTGTTCGAGTACGGAAAATGGAGGGAAAACGGAGCCAAGTATTAATATATACAGAAAGAGAAAATTATGCGGAAATGTTTGGGAAAAAAACAATAAAGGAAGCTCATGTATTGCAAACAGAAATGATGTCATTTCTTTTAAAATCAGAATAATAAAAACACATCAGTAACTTCTAACGTCTCAATATAGATAACAAATATGTTCCCCCTTTAAAAGTTGAAGTTAAACATCATGGAAAATGGAACCGGTTTTAGAGTAGGGTAGTTTGTTTTGATCAATGACAGTATTTATGGTGTCACGTGCCAGCACATGTAATGTCAGGTGTGATATTAGGTGACAACCTCTACATTGATAATTTTAAAAGGCTTGATTGCATGAACAAATGTGATGCTATAAGGTGACGAAACGTGGCATGTTAAATGATGCCGGACACGTGCCCAAATATGTACGAAGTGAAAAAAGGTCACGATAACTCTGGCTTTGAGCTAACCGCTGTAGTATCGGATGCCCATTTCGGTCCCCGTCGGCTGTCAATCATATCGTTATGAAGGGAAGTAATTCTTGGAGACCAGCATGAGGATGTCTGGTTTCATGCTCAATGTTGAAAATAGACTCGAAAAGCACAGCACAACGAATAGACCCCTTTGTCAACCCTTAGCGCTGAAATATGTTGATATATTTATATATATAAATAGGATCCCTTTTAAATATTTAACAATATTACATCAACTAAAACTCTTGACATGCGGCAGGTTTCCATGAGGTGTTAAACAATATATTAGGATTTTATACTCGAATCAGTTTATTATAAACTATCACAGGCTAGTATTTTGGCTAATGAGTAGGTATATCGGGAAAAAAATGATAAAAAATATTCACCTCCAACAAACAAACAAAACGAGGTACATACATTTATTTGACCCGTTCAGAAGCTTAAAAAGAAAAATGAAGTGTTGATATAACATATGTTATGTTCCTACCTATATATGTAAAAGTCTGCCGTGTAGGTTTTTTAACGGGATATTTTTATTGATCTCAGACCGATTGTTATCCATTATACATATGTACATACATATGGTATAGTAAAGGGTCATTTCAAGTTCAATGACGTTATGAGATAAACAGTCGCTACAAGGTGAAGACTGGGTCAAACAGCGAACATATTAGTCCGCTCAATATTGTTATCACTGGTTCGAATAGACCCTTTCAACCTACCTATTCAGCCAGCGCCTTTCATCTCAGGTGTTTGATTATCGCTCACATATTTATAAAAAAAAAAAAAAAAAATTTAGGACAGGTCAGAGTATTACGTCACTAACACCATGGTTACTAAAGACGGGAACACATAAACATGCACTTTTTTAATCGTTATTTAATAACGGGCAACTATATAAATATGGTGTTAAGGTGAATTTTATCCGAGGTTTCGTTAATTATCAAAATCTTGGTTTAAGCTGATAATTAAATTTCCATCACAAATTAACACTGCCGTAGTTAAGTTTTACGTTTGACAAAGTGGTAAAATTTTCTGGAAAAAAATCCCTCGTCGTTTGCGAGTATGGTTGAACTTCTAAAATAGAAATTATTTGAATAATTGTACTGTGAAAATCACCAAGGGAGTATTGATTTTATATGATAATTGATTTATACTCGTTTAATGCTGTTTTGTTCTGCGGACATGACTATAATGTCACAACACTAATTCAGAATACACATTTAACGTTGTGCTTGTCGCAGATATGTTGAAAAGCGTCTTTCAAGCGGAATGAATTTTCATATGTACTCTTCAGGCGATGTGGGCGATCTAGTAAGGCATTTCATATACACAGAATATCATTAGATAGTCAGCATTAGTGAGCAAATACAGCATTTTAATGTGTTTTGGTGTTCGTGCATTTAAAACACACACACGCACCCTTGTACGCACGCACACAGACACACACACACACACACACACACACACACACACACACACACACACACACACACACACACACACACAGTTTCTTATGACGATGTTTGATTGTTAAATTTTCGAAGCGATAGACTGGGGTAAATGGAAAAACCTAGTGGGCTATGCTTATCCATCTGTATCATTATTGCCCGATGATGTGTGTTATACTGGAACGATTGTAAATCATGGGGAAAAAACAAAAAGCGAAGTTATGAAAAAAAACCCACCTAGACATCAAGGAAGGTTAGATTTAATAGAGGGTAAAGGGAAGTAGGTCATAATGGGTAAAGGGAGTTAAGTCATAGAGCGTAAAGGGAGGTAAGTCAAAGAGGGTAAAGGGAGATAAGTCATAAATTCTCACACTTCTGTTTTAAATTAAAAGTTTTCCTGCTCCATTTCTATTTTAGAGATTACAGTAGATTTGCTATAAAAATCCATATCGTTGTTGAATTTTGAATTATTGACCTCCCCGAGTCTAAATATACATATATCGCCTCCTTCAAGCACGTATTTCCCTGTTTAAATTTGTTTGTACAAACACTTAAATCTCATTGTATAGTTTAGCATCAGCTTCTTTCTACATTTTAGTTATGGGCTGATGGATAGTATTTTTTTGCAATATCTTTCAAATATTCCTTTTGATTTTTTGTTTGTTTTTTATGTAAAACTCATGGTTAAAAAGCTGAAAAATATGTCCTCCCGGATAGGTTCTAATTTTCCTTTTCATCCCTGACTGAGAATGTCAATGATCTTATCTCGAAATCTATTATAATAGGATTGCTATCTCGAAGTTTTTGTATGCTATTTCGAAATTTCGGATTATCACATCGAGTTATTGTCTCAAAATTTCGACTTTTCGTTTATATTTCATATTACTAAGCGGGATGCCTTTCTTATTTACTTAAATACGGTTCTGCAAAATCTACGATAGCAGGAATTTCACTTGGTATATGTACAGTATCGTCGTTGGAAGGAGAGTCTGTCTGGAAACGTCAGAGCAGGGCTTCGTGAGTTTCCGGCGATGCTTTTTCTAAAATTTCAGAGCAGAGGCTCGTGAGATTTTGCGTTTATAATGTACACACAGAAGAATGTAAGAGTCAAGGAGAAGAGTTATGTCGTAATAACGAGTTTGTATGTCGTAATAACGAGTATATCTATTAGTCCGCAGGTTTCTGACTATTTAAACAGATTACGTTTTATGATACAACCATGAGACTCAAACATTTTCAGGCGGCTGGTCAAGGATTCTACGCTGCAACGAGCCATTACTAAACAGGGACGAGGGGTTAGGGGTGGGCTGTACAGACTGTGATATCTATAGACAGCTATATTTATGACAAAGTGTACAACAAACGTAGCAAAACCGACTACAGAACATTGTCACCATCTTGTGTACTTTTTTCTGTAACTTTTACCATCTCGTCACACAATTATATACCTTAATGTATATAGGATTATAGAACAGCCGAAAAAGTTGGTCGATTCCTTACCATCTCGTACACTACGTACGTCAGTGCTAGTACGCTCCACACTGGTCATATGTCTGATGAAGGTGACCGTGTAGTCATCGAGACGTCACACTCTAATCCTCTACTGGTAATGTTACAATGTTAACATATTAATGTTATTCTACTACCATTACCGACCTGAAGAAATTTTTTCGAAAAATACCATGATAGTTATTTCAAAGGATTTTCCGGTTTTTGAATTAGAATTGAAGACGTATTGATGACAGAAAAATTCCAGCTACCTATCCACTTGTGTGTCTTTTTTGAGCAAGTTTCGAGATTGCAGGTGGTATACACTGCTGGTCATGGACTTTTCGTCCTCGACATTGTTCATAGTATGTATAACAGTACAATGCCATTGTACTTGAATTTTCTTTCGAAACAGTAAGATTTAGGAATTAATTGAATTATGGGGCTAGTGCAGCTACCCATCAAGATATTAAAATTTCTATCAAACAGTTTTTCAATCTTTCCTCGCATACATTGTATCCCTGAAGGACGAAACATTTGTATTCGCAGTTCACTTCATTATTTGGCTTTACTGCATCCAGTCCTTTATTGTGTTTTAAGGCTATCTTATAAATATGACAAGAATTAAGGGTAATGTCTCGTACGTCCTCAGCTTCACCATAGGACAGTTTCAGGATAAAGCAAACGTGCATTTGAAATATTTATATACGTGTATTCAACTGTAGTTCAATAATAATAACCACCTCCCCTCTCCCCTCCCCCCCCCAAAAAAGAATAAAACGATGTTGTAGCTTAATTTTTCAAAATCTACAAATTTAAGAAAAAAACCCTTAATAAACCAATATTTCTATCCGAGTTTACTAGAATAGCAATCACACATATATATAATTAAACTATCTTTTGTTTGCTCTTTGGATTTTGTCCTTTATAGAACTATTTTTTAAACTTTCAAATTTACAGAAAACTTAGAGTGAACTTCAGAATCTGAAATGTGCGCCGCGATAGCCATGCCCAGATACACTAGTTGCCTGGTACATTAGAAATGGCCTCAGGTCGTTGATTTTTCTTCGAAAAATTTGGCTTTCCGCCACCTTCTAAACCTGGGACGTCAAAATAAAATGACTCTGGCTGTTAATAGAATGTTGAACAACAAAAGACTAATTTAAATTCAGAGAGAATGTCAGCCCAACACCATGATAAGTCCAGGTCACGGCAAACTGTAGGCGAAATTCAGCACAATCAATTATAGACTAAAATTATTATTGAAACCATATGTTTAGAATGCCTTATTTCTAAATATATAATAAGAAACCAGATTTGG